ACAGGACCACATGGTTTGAGATCCTGGGCAAAAAAGGGAAGAGATGCTGAGAATGCCCTGGTTTTATGCCCTCTCTGGGATTTTGAATTTGAGCTTGTATTCTGATTGGTTGTCAGACTCCCATGGGGCCATGCAGGGGTAACTTTGTAGGTTGTCTGTGTCCCAGGCTTGGTTGAGCCTTGCTGGATGATGATCAGAGGTGGATTTTTGCTGGTTCGCCCTGGATCGGGCGAACTGGTAGTGGAAAGTAGTGGCGACAGCAGGAGGCTCCGCCCACCCGTCCAGATGCTTCTGTGCATGCGCATGAGCGAACCGGTAGTAAAATAAATTGAAACCCCCACTGGCGATGATGTAATGAAGGTCATTTGGACAATTCCTCCTATGGCTCTGCCTGAATGAGGTAGATCTTTGCTATGTAGAATAGAGTGGCCTAGGCCTTAATGGCTCATTAACAAAGGGTGTGTGTTTGTGTGACTTTCTGCCTCCATTTTAGGGGAAATATTTTGCCCTTTTAAAATATTTCCCAAAATATTTCATTTTCCTAGGAGAGGGGTGGGTGCTAACTTCCTACAATACTATTGGATAAAGGCCTGCGTGGCTGTCTGGATAAGATGTAGCAGTCAATAGGTAAGATACATTGAGAAATTTCACCTATTCTGTGGTTCCTTATAAAGCTCTTCACATGTTCATAGTATTGTTTAGTTGTTCTTGTTTAGTGCTTCTCTTTATTTAGGAATGACATGGCTCAATGGTGAGGCCCATGGTTACCCGGGCAAAGCCTGAAGTTTAGCTTCTCCTCATTCAGTCACAGAATCCGTGTCTACCTGAGGATTTGGACTGTGACTTTTATGCTGCAAACATGCGGAAAGTCTTCTCCCTTTTTTGGTTATCAAGCATTGCAGCTTTCACTTCTCTTTTTGGCCTGGATGGAAACTCTCCCTGAAATTGAAATCTCTCTTCTGGTTCCCAAGTGGGTGATTATGAAAAAGAGGAAAATATTTTTCCCTTGTAGCTGGGAAAAAAGAAATGTACTGAAGGTCAGGAAGATAAAGCAGGAGGACAGAAAGATAAATGATGGCAAGGCAGCTTTGTAAGGGCTTGAAATCTGGGTGAAAAAAAGTGGAAGGGAAATCTCCTTCATGATTAATTCCAGAGATCTTACTTCTTAATTATTTTTTTTTAAAACAAACGATTGTATTTCTTTTCAATACTTTCAGCATTTATAGTATCCTCTCTTAATCTGGTGTATAGTATGCAAGCTGGAAACACTTGAAACTGTAGTCCCGCTGCATCTACAGGACATATTAGTTTAATGAGTTGTGCAAACCTAGAAAATTGAACTAATTGATAAGTGTAGGAGTGACTTCAGTAGCTCATATTAGCCTTCCCAGGGACAAACAGAATGCAAGGGGAAAAAACCCGTAATACAGAATTGCAGATAAAAAAAAGAGGGAACGGGTTAATTCCTTAATTAAAATGGGGGCAGAGAGCAGAATTATTAAAATGTTTTGAAAAACAAAGAGTTCAAAGGACTGCATGAACTTTCCTCCACATAAATCTTTGCAATGGCCCTGTGAAGTGAGATAGTATAATTTCCCTTGAGTAGGTCATGGTGCGAGTTGATGAGAAAAGAAAAATCTGAATTTGATGTTTCCTTGTAAATTACGTCTTGCTCCCTTAATGATGTTTGTCCTCTTGTCTATGGAGATTCTCAGTCATCCAGGTCATGGTTGTCTGAAAAGTGCTTTTTCAAAGGGCAATTGGACTTCCTTTGTTTTCCCTCGTTTTTCGCTTCCCATCCAAGAAGCTGCTATTCTACTTCAGTCCAAATTAAAGTAGCTTCTTGGGTAATAAGTGAAACATCTTCAAGGACAAACGAAGTCCAGTTGCCTTTTAGGAAAAAAAAAAACCTTTGGGACATGTTGTCCTCTTGGGCTAACCCAGGTTTAATTTATCCATGGTTCTGCCTTAGGGATGTCAGAATTTGATCTCCTCTTTTTCCTTTTTTTTTATGCCTTCCTTGCAGCGTAACACCTTCCAGGCTGTCTTAGCCTACAATGAAGCAGACGCCTATGCCCTTTTCCTCTATCCTGAAGATGGGCTCCAGTTCTTTGGAACACGTCCCAAGGAGTCTTACAATGTCCACTTGGAGCTCCCCGCTCGAGTTGGCTTCAGCAGAGGGGATTACCAACGGAGGGAAGGACCTTACCTCAGCATCACCAGCAGTGAACAATCGGTCAAAAACCTCTATCAGTAAGTAGCTGCTGGGAGGCTTTCCATTTGAGCATTGTTGGTGTCAGTCCCACAAGGTAGACAGGCTCCATTAGAACTCTACCTTGGTTGAGATAGGCTCTAGTAAAAGGATCTCGCAAATCTGCCTACATTTTTCCTCCCCCCTCCCTTGTACCCTAAGGCAAGGGTGTCAAACTCACATCATCACGGCAGCATCGTGTGATGTATAGCAGCTTTCCCCCCTTCACTAAACTGGGCATGGGCGTGGCCAATGCATGACGCACAGGGACGGGCTCCAAAAATTTCAACAATGGGTTCTCTGCCCGGTTGCTGGGTGGGTGTGGCCATGGTGGGCGTGGCTTACTCGGCCTCTTGCATCATGGTGGAGGGCAAAAACTGCCCCCTCCCCGAACCTCTGCATGGGTCCTGCAGTTACCTAGCATCCAAAACGGGCCATGTGGAGACTCCCGGGAGGGGCAGGGCAGGGCATGGTGGGAGGAGTGGGGTGAGCAGGTGTGGGATTTGGAGGTTCTCCGAACTGGCCATAATGTTAGCTACGGGTTTTCTCACACCCGGGCGAACCCGTAGCAGCCCACCCTGGTGATGGATCTGGCCAGCGGGCCTTGAGTTTGACAGCCCTGTCCTAAGGAGTCAGGAAAATGTCCATCTCTTTCCCATATTCTTTCTCCGCCTCCCAGCTTAACATGTGCTTCTTCTGTACCTGCTGTTCTTCTAACAGCTTCTGGTTGCCTTCTATGAAGTCATCTCCACGGCTTCTATAGTCTGCCACTTGGGGATATACTGATATCATTAAAGTTTTGGATGGTGAAAGGAAACAAGATGGGAGAGGAAACATTTAGCTCAGTCTTGATCTGAAAGGTTCTGGGGGAAATGGAGCAAAACTCTCTCCTTTGGCTGAAACCCAGGAGTAGATTGTGGTGTCTAAAAATGGCCTCTGTCTCCTACAGTGAAAGTAAATGAGTTGCTCCTTGCACAGTCTTCCTGATGGCTGAGGCCAAGTGAGAAGAGAGTTGCCTGAAATGATTTGATACCACTTTGGGATTGCTTTGAATAATAAAGTGGGATGTAGATTTCATAAACAAACAGCTAAATAAAACAGGAAGCCTGGATGTCCAGCTGTACTTTGCTCCCTTTTATTGACTTTTATGCAGTCTTTATGAGCTGGTGGACCAGTGGTATCTACATGGTGTTGGTGAGTGTGTGTGCATGAAAACAAGATGGCAGTCACAGCAGCGTGATGATCAGACCTTGTCCTTTTTATTCATGCACTGATATTGTATGCCCATATAAGAAGGAGAGTTGTGCTGCTACAAAGGCAATTTTTTGACACCTGCCAATTACTCTCATTTCTACCAGTGTGAGAAATACATCTCATCGTATCTCTTACAACAGAGTAGCATTTTCTCCGGTACCTTTCCTTTCTTTTCTTTTGCCAACAATAGTATTTTTTTTAGATGGGAAGCATTCAGATCTGCAATTTGAAATGTTGTGCCCCCTTAGCCTTGATTTATTTGCTTGTTTTTTAGATTTAAATTTTGCCTTTTGTTCAGGTGATAAGGGCAGTGTGCATAGCACTCCCTACTCATATTTTTCCCTTTAACCTGTGAGTGGATTGAAGTGTCAGTGTGTGTCTGGCTCAAAGTCATCCAGTGAGCTTCCATGGCTGAGAGTGGACTAAAAATTGAATCTCTGCTGCCAGCCTAACATCTTAAGCCCTATACCAGTTCAGTGGTAGTGGCTATGTCAGGCCTGGAAGCCATCTTGGGCCTTGGATCTTCAGGCCTGCCACATTTACTGCTGTGGAAAAGTAGCTCTGACACGCTAACTATATATGAAGGTAAACCTGTCCTAAGAAACACTCTGCCATTTGCAGTGTGCTGCCATTGGAAAGTTTCAGTACATTTTTGATTCATGGAGAGTAAACATGAGCCCAACTGTGTTCAACATGTAATACCCATGGTTTAATCATCCGTTATGAATCCTAGAATCTTCTGCTTCATTCCTCTATTTTTATTTACTCTATATGTTTATATACTGTGTCCTCATCATCCCTAAGGGATTCCAGGGCATTCATAAAATTATACAAATACAGGTTAATAGCAGTAATGAAAATAATATAAGGCATAACGACTGTGAAACCAGCAAACAGAACCAATCAACTGGTCAATATTTATTTAGATTCAGCGTGATATTTACAATCCCTGGGCATACAGGAATGTTTTTAATTTAGAGCCAAAGTAAAGGCAAATTTGGTGCACATGAGATCCTTTGCCTTTATAGATGGGATTTTCAGCAAGCAAACTGGTTTGGAAAAGATTTATAGACTAAAGATCATAAAAAGAATTTTACTAGATCAGACTTAAAGCTCATATAGTCTGGCATCCTGGTTCTTTTTACCATGGAATTGGAAACTTTATAGAAGTTATCTATTCCAAATCCCTAGCAGAATCTGCTCTAAATGTTTCCCAATTGTGGCAGCTTCCAGAATTTATGAGAACTTCCAGAATGTATGGATTTCCACAGTTCTCATTAATTGCCATGCTGACTGTGAACTTTTGTGATTTGAAGTCTGCATATCTGGAAATTACCAAAATTATCATAGATTGTCTCTGATAATTGACCATCTATGACCATTTTCAAACTTTTTGCATATTGAGAATCTTTTACTAGAAAGAGAGTTGTTTCTTTCCTGGTAATTTTTCATTATCTTCTATACCTTGCAGAGGTGGGTTCCTACCAGTTCGCAAGAACCGGTTCGTCAAATCTACCGAACCGGTTAGAAGAGTTTTCACCAGTGGACCTGGAAAGCAGGCCACACCTACAGAAGAGGTTCCAAAAATTTTTGAAACCCACCACTAACACACACACACACACACAGACAGACTCACACAGAGAGAGAAAGAGAAAGAAAGGAAGAAAGAAAGAAAAAAGAAAAAAGAAAGAAAAAGTGAGAGAGAGATGAAAGAAAAAAAGGAAGGAGAGAGAGAGAGATAGAGATAGAGATAGAGAGAGAGAGAGAGAAAGAAAACACATGGCCAGCAAGCCACTCCCACAAAGGAGGCCACACCCACAGAGTAGGTTCGAAATTTTTTTGAAACCCACCACTGATACCTTGGTATCATCCACAGGTGAGATACTATTATTAGAAGTTATCCAAAACATTGATATGGAGTAAAGATCCAGTATCTAAAGATTTTTCATTGACAAATGAACTAGTTATTACTCTGTCTAGAAGAACCAAAATATATTATGGAAAGGAGCAAATTTGTCCACATTTGCTTGTCCACTTGCAACAGGTTTGCTCTAGGGTTCTGTCTCTGAGTTAAAAAAAAACACACACCATCCATGGTGACCATCAGGATGCATGTATGTTGTCATGCTGGCTGGGAATTCTGGGAGTTGAAATTCACAAATCTGAGAGTTACCAAGATTGAGAAATGTTTAACATCTATCGGGTTTTCTATCTATCGGTCTATTGGGTAAAAATAAAAAGTCTTCTGAAGGTGTGCCTTTCTGAAATGTTGGATTCTCTCTCATTTCCAGCTCCATATCACTAATCATGGCTAGGAATAATCCATTATATCTGGAAAGTGTTAAGATAGGAAAAGGACAAGGAAGATCAAAGCAATCTACTGTAATATCTTATTAAGAAATACATATTTTCTGGCAGTTCAAACTTCATAAGCCTAAGTTAGCAATAAAGTGCTTGAGGAGAGAAAGGAGTGTGTGTGAAAGTTTAGATTTTTCACTGAAACATGACCACTGCAAAGGAGTCAAGCTTGTAAAAGAACAGCTGCCGTATATAATTATCATTATCAAAAGCCAGCTGTTCCCTCTCTTGGATCTGCCGGACTTGAGAAGCATCTGCATAAATAATGGCAAATGAGCGACTGCTAAATAAACTTTTACAAAGGATATTTTATTTGTTTAGATAAGCTAGGAGCTCATATCTAAATATTTAACCAGTTATTTTATGGTACAAACATTCAACTTTTGCACAAAAGGAACAACTACGAATACATACAAAGCCAGTCTCTCTAGCTGATACCACCCACCCATGTTTTAGCAATTAGTTAGATCTGCATAACCCAAGTAAGGGTAGGAAATCCAGCAGCCCTTGTGTCTCTACATTTCTTCCTTCCGCAATGGCCACATTTCTAGTTACATTTCTCCTGACCTTGGCTCCATATCATATGTTCCCTTAACTCTTTCCTGCCTTCCCAAACATTCCTCTCCCTGGATAATTAGGTGACTGGTGATTTTTTAAACTTTCTGTGATTTCTCTCTCTCCACATCTCCAGTGCAAATATTTTGCTTCTTCACTACTTATTGCCTTCAATTAGTCTATGCTCTAATAAACTTCAGTGGACACACTCATGTAGATTCCTCTCTACAGTTTGGAATCCAGTTGCATCTGTGCTATATGGTTGCTCAGTTGCATGACTAATCCAGATCAGATGGTTGCCTCCCATGCCAATATTTCTCCTTAATGAGGCCTGCAGCTACTACTGTAGTTCAGTAATATGATCCAGGTCTGTGGATGGAGAAATGTCCATTACGTTCCTTTTCATTGTTAATCGCTGCTCGCATTCATTGATATGTACCTTGTCTTCTACCTCAAATCGATGTTCAAAGTCATCAAAAAGAACAAAAGTTAATGCCTAAACAAATAAAGATGTAAAGATGCAGATTTAGAAACATTATTAAAATAATAATCAAATCCCCATTTGATTTAACCTGAATCTAAAGAGCTGTGCCTCATTCTTCTGAAGGTAAAGAGGACAGGGATCAACTAAAGTTCTTGGACAAATTAGTTTTCTTGCTTGGGGATGATGTGAGACAACACCATGACCTCTCTAAACAGGGGCATCTTCAAAAGTCTGTTCTCTGCAGCAGATTTTTATGGAAGTAGATTGCAGCAGATTTTTATGGAAGTATAAATTTAGCAATAGCAGTTAGACTTATATACCGCTTCATAGGGCTTTCAGCCTTCTCTAAGCAGTTTACAGAGTCAGCATATTACCCCCAACGACAATCCGGGTCCTCATTTTACCCACCTCGGAAGGATGGAAGGCTGAGTCAACCCTGAGCCGGTGAGATTTGAACAGCCGAACTGC